GCATTGCCTATATTCCTTATTTTGTTAGGGTTTTCAGAATGATACTTTTTAGAAACTTTTAATTGTGATCCATGGTGGCCATTGAGATTTCACTTTTACATACTCCTGTGTGTGTATATGTGTGTGTGTGTGTGTGTGTGTGTGTGTGTGTCTGTCCATGCATGCTGGTGTGTTCAGGTGTTCTATGCAATTTCATCACATGTATAGGCAAACATGGATAACACCACAGGCAAGGACCAAGATCTATCACGAGGATCCCTTAGGTTACCTTTTGGAACCACAGCCATCTCCTTCCCCCCCTGTCGCTTACCCCAGGGAACACAAATCTGTTCTCCATTTCTATAATTTTGTTTTTACAAGAAAGGGAATTATACAGTATGCAACCTTTTAAGGTTGGCTTTTTTTCATTCAGCGTAATTCCCTTGAGATCCAGCCAGACGTTTGCATGTATCAATGGTTTATTTTGTTTTATTATTTAGCATTTCTAATCATTCAAGTATTGAAGCAAATTTGGGTTGTTTTCAGTGTTTTGGTGTTGTATATCAATATGCTGCTAGCATTCATATACAGGTTGCCTATTGAATAATGCCCAAGAATGGGGGGTGCAGTGATGTAGGCCTGTGATCCCAGATACTTAGAGGGCTGAGGCAGGAAGATCACAAGTTTGAGACCAGCCTGGGCAAACTAATGAGAGCCTGTCTCCAAATAAAAAGGGCTTGGATGTAGCTCAGTGGTAGAGTGACCCTGGGCTCAATCCCTAATACGACGACGACAACGACAACAACAACCACCACCACAACAAAACCCCCACAATTGCTGGGTTATATAATAAGCATGCTTAGTTTTGTAAGAAACTGCCATATTCTTTTTCCAGAGTGGCTGAACCATTTCATATTTCCACCAGCAGTGAATGAGACATCTAATTTCACCAGCTTTTGGGGTTATCACTGTATTTATTTTAGTCATTCTGATAGCTTTGTGAATGATGATTTTTTAATTGTTTCATTCTTTTACTACCTTTCAGTTGCAATTCTTCTATAAAGAACTCTTGTTCCTCAGTTATTTGGTGACTCTGAAATAGTCTGTAGAAGAAAGGAAGAATAACATGTTTTTTTTGTTGTTGTTGTTTCTCTATCTCCCTCCCTTAAGCCAGTTTTTAGAGAAAACAGATCTGTGCCTTGCCAGCCTCCAGAGTGACTAATTAGCAATTTTTTAAAGTATCATCATGAAATCATGGATTAAAAAAAATTTGATGTGGTTATCTTCTCAAGGTAAATTATTAGAAGAGAAGTCCTGTGAAAGGGTAGACAAATTTAAAATTTTGATATAGATTATCCCTCTCACCTCCAGAAAGATCATACCATTTTGTGCTCTTACCAATATATAAAAATATTTATTTTTCTATATCCTTGCCAACACTGATTTGGCCCGTTTTTATTTTTATTTTTTTAATTTTACCAATCTGATGATAAATTGATATTTTACTGTTTCTATTGCAGCACTTAGTTAGAATTGATCTTTTCACATTATTGAATTTTTTAAAAAACTAGCCAGTTGTCTGTTAATTAACTTTACCTGTGTTTCTATTGGGATATTAGTCTTTTATTACATTTTTCTGTTGTTATGCCTATCAGTATTTTTCCTTGGTGGTTTCTGCTTTCTGTTTGCTTGGACTCTTTCCTACCTTAAGATTATAAAAATATGTACTTATTTTTTCTAGTGCCTTTAAATATTTAAATATTATAGCTAAATTTAAATATTGGTTCCACGGAGAGCTTATTTTTATGTAAGAAATAAGGTGCAGCATTACATTTTCCCAAATGTCTGACCAATATCCCCATGTCAACATATTAAATAAGTTATCTTTACCCACTAACTTTGTTACCAAATCCAAGTTCGTTTACTTGGGCCACTCAAAAAGAAGCCCAGTGTATCAGTAAGCCAGAGAAATCAAGAATACAGTGGGCCAGTGCCCTAAAAATCCATCTTAACTCAGTGTAAATTTCAAACTCCTCCTATCCTTAGGTTTGGTGGGGTAGGGTGGAAGGAGGGCTTGCATTAGGTAAGGACTGATGACTGGAGACCTAAGGTGCCACTCCTGTGCTAAGGAACAGGGTGTTGTGAGACCTGGTGGTTGGCAATCTGTCAATCATGATGCCTCTGAAAAATCTCGAAAATATCTTAGTTACTCTCATTTTGGCGTCTTCAGCATTGAAGCAGGAAGAGAAAGATTAGGGAAGTTTCGAGTAAATCAGGCTTGTACTACCAATTCTAGACAAGATTCCTTAAATGACTACCATGCATCCATGCAAAGCTTAGCAGAAGCAGTCTAACCCAAAGGTTAGCGAAGCAACAGATCTTAAGGCAGAAGGGCCAGGCTTTCTTAGCCTGTTTCAGTCACCCCTTGGACACCTGGGCAGGCCCAAGTGAAGAGTCAGTGCTTTCTACAAAGGCATTCTCCAAGTCCCTGATAAGTACCCTAGGCCACTGTGTCATCATAACACACACTTCAGAAGTGTTATCTACAGCAAGGCTCGTGGGAAACTAATAATGCATTGCCCCATGGTGTAGCTTCCAAAATTCGTGATTTTTAAAGTCAGCTGCAAGCAGGTGAAGCTGGAAGGTTTACCCTTGATTACAACTTGGAATGCCACTTTTATGCTTAGTTCTCTGTAATTTTGATTCTGAGTTTTCTATTGTGTTCCACTGATAGGTCTATGACTGGTCTCCTGTCACAATTTATATTACCACAGCTTGATTTTCCATTAACATTTTTGTTGCTGGAATTTATGAAATTTTGAAAATTATATGAACTTACTTTTGTATGTCAGTTGCTTTATAATGTTTAATTTTGTTGTTGTTTTTGTTTGGTTTTGCAGTGCTAGGGATCAAACCCAAGGCCCTGCAAGTACTAGACAAATGCTCTACCACTGAGCTACGTCCCTAGACACTGTGACATGTTCTAATATTTGATTGCTTGTCTCTTTTCTTATTTTATGACTTTGCTGGCAGAGCTCACAGATTGATCCAAGTGGATTTGAAAATATTTGTAAAGTTCTCCAAATACCTTCTATATTTCATTTTAGGAGGACTGATTTTATAAATTTAAACTCTCATGGTTAAGAATGTAGTCTTTCATTCATTTAAGTCATCTTTTGTGTCCTTGAGTACTTTTTATTAGCTTATTTCTAAGTTTATTATTGTTAGTTTCTCTGTCCCTTTGTTTGAGGAATGCCTTTTAAACTTGATCAGATTCAATTTTTTTTAATGAGGTCATACCTTCTGGGAAGAATGTCAGACTTTATTATCTGTAATATTAGCTTTCTAAGCTGCTCCCTAAGCCGACAAGCTCTATTTCCCACTGTCCTTAAGGCAAATTCAGACATAGTTTCCTTCTGATAGTCACTATTGTTTAGTTACCAAGTATAAATTACAACAAATTTCTGAGGAAGACATAATACATTGTTGATCAAAATTAAAGGCTAATTCAAATTTGGAATTTTAAATTGAAGACTTCAGTTATTTCATTACACCATTCAGGCAACTTTTTATTAAGTGACAAGATGAACCTACAGTTATAAAAGATTTTCATAAGGCATGTGTCTTCTGGCCTGCCAGTTTTCTTGGTTGGACTATTTATAGGATCTATTTCATTGTACCTGGGAATTGTTATTTTTTTCTGCTGCTTGTATGAGCTGTCTTAATGCTCAAACCTGTTTTATCCAAAGTACAGTAATAAAGATAAAAGCAGCTGCTACTAACTGAGATTGTCCTATGTGCTAGGCTCTCCATCTTACATATTTAATGTATGTTAATTTCTTTAATTCACTGAACAGCTTTCTAAGGATTTCTTATGTTGCAGATAGGAGGTGAATTGAGTGAAGTTAAATCTGTGAGGCTTCAACTCATCGAGGTCTCAGATTACATTACAGACTCCTGCCTTTGTGGGTGTGTGCAGATGTACACATGCGCCTGCATTTTGGAGGACTTTTGTTGTTTGGAGGGGTGAGCAGAGAGAGAAGTGGTCATAGTTTCAGCAAACTTGAAGGCACTGCTTCTAAAACACAGAAGACTTTTATAATACACTATCTCATTCTCAAGAACTATTCTTCATTAAGGATTATGTTCTGCAAGTACTAGACAAATGCTCTACCTCATTATGTTTTAAACTTCTATTTTGTAGATGTTTAATGAACTGCTATTATTTGGTAGATTCTAGGATCAGTTTTCTGGGGAGTATTATAAACTAGGATTAATAAGAATAATATAAATATTGGAATTTTCAAAAGATTTGTTAAGGTTATTATCGACAAGACAAGATTATAAGGTGAGTCATTATTTTAGGGGGAAATCTATTTTCAGATCCTTTAAAACTACTCAATTATAAATAATATGCTAATTATAATTACAGATTTTTAAAATTCATTCAAACAGCAGAACCCTTTGCTTTTCTCATATATATATATATATATATATATATATATATATATATATATATTTTCTCTTACTTAGTAAAGTAGCATTCTGTGATTTAGAGAAACTTTCCAGGCATATCAATTGGCTTGTTTGTGTATGTTATAAAATACTTGAGAAACATTAAAAGGCATAAAGATAATATCCTATCCTTATATCTAACATATTATTGAAGGCATAGAATTTTACCAGTATAACTGAAGTCCCTCTGTACTGCTCTTCAAGTGCCTGATTCTTCCTCTGCCTCAGAAATAACTTATTATCTATTTTAAAACATAATAACCATTTTTGAACCTTGTAAATGATAGTATAAGCTAATTGTTCTGCAATTTGCTTTTTTTCATTCAATATGATATTTTTGAGATCCACCCATGTTGACATGTGTAGTTCTAGTCTGTTTATTTTTACTGCTGGTAATATTATGATCTATAAGCATGTCATCATTTACTCATACATTCTTCTCCTGATGTAGTTGTTTCCAGTTTTTGCACTTAATAAAACATGCTATTATCAATGCTGTCTTACAGGTCTCCGTGTGCTTTTTTGCAAGAGATTCCCTAGAGCACTTTTCTATGAATGAAATTGCTGAATCAAAAGGTATGTGTATTTTCACTTTTGCTAAACATTGTCAAGTTGTCACCAAAGGTAGTACCCATTAAGATCCCCACCTTTGCCAATTAGGTCTCTCATTGTTCTATATCCTTAGTAACACTAGGTATTGTTGAAGTTTAATTTGCCTTTGAGTGATATCTTATTGTTTTGAATCTTCTTGATTATTGTTGAGGTTGACCTTTTCTTCTTGTGTTTATTAATAATATAGATACTTCATCCTATTATGTTTTTCCTCCATATCTGTGGGTTCTACATCGGTGGCTTCAATCAACCACAGATAGAAAACATTTGGGAAAAAAATGCATCTACTGAATGCAGACTTTTTTTTTTTTTTCCACCTGGAACTGGGGATAGAACCCAGGGCTTTCCATATGCTAGGTAAATTCTCTATCACTGAGCTCCATCCCCACTCCTTTTTATTTTTTTATTTTCTGTTTTTATTTTTTGTCTCACTAAGTTGTTAAGGCTGTCCCCAAACTTGAAATCCTCCTGCCTCAGCCTCCCAAATAGCTGGGATTATGGGTAATCCCCACTGTGCCCAACTATGTAGACTTTATTTTCCATGTCATTATTCCCCAAACTATACAACACAACAACTGTTTACATAGCATTTATGTTGTATTAGACACTATAAATAACTTAGAGATGACTTAAAGTATACAGTATAATATGCAAATACTATGTCATTTTATATAAGGGACTTCAGTATCTTGACATTTTGGGATCCATGGGGGGCGAAGAGTCCTGGAATCAGTCCCCTGAGGACACCAAGGGATGACTGGACTTACTGGACTTATTGTATATAATGGTTGAAAGTGATGTGCAAATTTGAAAGTAGCATAGATAGATAGAAGTATACCATACTTTTATCCTTGAAATATTGGCAGTTTTGCACATTTTTTGGAAGACATAATTTGGGGGTGGTTTCTTGATTGTATATTTTTAAAAAGCATGTACTTTGGATTGATGCTTGAATCACACACAGCTCCATTATTTATCACTATATGACCTTTAACTATTTATGTAATCTGAGTATCTACCTCTTCATCTTTTAAATGGGTATCTTATGGTTTGATGACAAAATTAGATGTCATTAACACCTAGCACATAGGATTAGTATATAGTTTTAGGATGAAATATACATACTCAGCTTCAATATTATGAAAGATGGGTGATACCATGGTATAAATGTGGATCAGTCCTGATATTTGGAAGCGTGTGTTGATAGTTGACTCTAATATAAATGTACTTTAATCTCAATCAAGGAGACCATTGGCACAGAAAATCCAGAACTATCAAGTGTCTGCATAGGACTGTCTTAGTTCTCCCTGTGTACCCTGCTCATCTTCTGTGCCCTGTCAGACGGCAGTGATAGAGCTGTATGGGACCACCCATAGTGGTGGGTGGGCACAACCTCAGGCCCCTTCTGTGTGCCCCGCAATCTGGCTCTATTTGGGAACCCAGTCAATAACAATACAGCATGGGATAGGTGGGCCGTGTGCCAGAGAGCTGATGACAGCAATGCGGACTGGTCAGTCATAGATATTGTGAGTTGATTTCATTTGGATTGTTCTGTTGCCTCTTGACACAGGAATTTCTTCACATGGCTGCTGAGGAAGTAACCGTTACAGTGCGCCTCATTCGTTCATTTGAGCACCGCAATTTCAAGCCCGTAGTGTATCATGGAGTTAATTTGGATCAAACCGTAAGGGACTTTATAGTATTTCTAAAGCAAGGTATGAGACAGTAGAGTCATTTTGTTTTACTGGTGGTTTGAAAATATAGCTGGCTGTGATGTTAATGGTAATCTTTTTAAAACACAGAGGTACTTGGAAGATATTAATCTAGGTTCTGAGCCAGGTGCTAGGCTGGCTCCTGTTCTGAGCCTTGGCATCATCCTGCCCCAAGATTTTTTAATAAGCTGCGTGTGTGTCCTCACCACAGATTGTTACCATCATGCTTGACTTAAAAAAAAAAAAAAATTAAGATCTGTGTTTTCTTTTCTTTCTTTCTTTCTTTTTTTTTTTTTTCACCTGCAACACCAACTTTATTTTTAAATCTGAAAGTGTCTTGGGAGAGTTTTACAAAAAAAATCAACAGAAACGAGTTATGAAAATATTTGACCAACTTTATTCTTTGGTTATTTCTTATTGCGGCTCTGTAAGGACAGACTGTTCCCGAAGCTCCAGCTAAAGCAGGAAGGGAAAAAAAATCAGTTCAAGTAAGGCGGCTTTTTTTGCTGAAAGCAGTGACTCTTCCCTTGGGCTTGAGCGGGCGTCCAGTGGGGAACAAAAGCAGAATGAAAAGCTTGGAATCTCTGCTTCATGTTGTCTCTGTCCTCTTTGCTGCCTTAACCCAGATTTCTGTTCAACCCTGCCTGCAGACAGGTTAGTCATTTAGGGAACATTTGTAGGAACTGGTAGTACAAGATTGATTTTTACCCTAAATTTACCTAATCTTTCTCCTCCCACTTCAAGCTGAAGACACCGAGATAAAAGCAAGATGTTTTCAAGATTTGCAGGGTATCATGACCCTGTGGTTAGGTATGTTCCAACTGCCAGGCGTCACAGTGTCCAGTTCCATCCATCCATGGCAGTGGTAACTTGAAGTCTTCAGTCATCAGCCCTTCCCTGACCTGAGCCCCCTTCTTTCCTCCAGGCCCAAGGATGGAAGGAGCTTGAAACTTAGGCTAAGATGGGTCTTTCCCTAGGGTGCTGCCTGTTTTGCTGGCATTCTGAATACATCTTTCTTCTTGCCCTTCAGAAGCCTGTCCATGATTTGTTGAGTCCTTTTAGAGTGGTGAGTAAACAGACCTGGGTAGCAGAGCAGGTCTACTTTGTAGTGATTTTTAAAGGATTTTATAGAAAGGACATAATTACTTATAAGACAACTTTACTGACTTACATAGAGAGTGTAAATGTTTTTGCCGTGTTCTTAGGGGAGAATCAACAGTTGTTACTAAGTGGTAATGTTGTAGGGGAGAAAAAATAGTTTTTTCTCAACCCTCGTAAGTTCTTAGATGGAAAGGACACTTTTAACAAAATACAGATTAATAAGCAAAAGTTTATTAAAAAGTAGATTTCATACATGTACTGCAGATGCACAGGGAGTGAGTCATTCTGAAAGAGAAGGCTTTGAATTCTAGCTCATATAGCATTTTCATCAAAGAAGAGTAAGTTTTTAAAGAAGTGACACAAATAAAAAGGACTTTGAATCCTTGGTGGCAGCTTTGGGGAGGGAGCAGGTTAAAGCTAGTTTTCTAATGTGGATCCCCTCTAGTGCCACCTGCAGACTAGTAAGGGTTAAAGTTGTCTTCAGTGGCTGCCCTTTGTTCTCCCTAGTAGAGAGGGAAAGAGGGATATCCTTTGCCTTTGTAAATCTGTGTAAATCCCACTTTTAGATAAATTGAGGAAAAGCAGAGAGCATTTTTGCATCTGCTTCTTAATTGAGCCTATAGCTCAAAACGATCCTTATGCCAAAGAGGCACATTTTGAGGTGGCATGTTCTGGTCCCCCACGAGTCTATTACAAAGCGTGCTGCTTTTGAGAGTTCTTCACCCAACATGTTCAGGTTTTGAACTAAAAACAAGTCCCTACCTTTTTGTTTCATAATCTTTCTAAGTACTGAGAGTTACGATGCTTCTTGATATTGATACAGCAAGTGCTGTGATGTTCTTGGTACAGGCAGAATAGGTTCCTCTTGAAATCCTTGAGAAGAAAATGTAATTTCCAAGCTGCTGCAAGGTTTTGGGGGAAGTTGTGGAGCCCGCACCTGCTAGGAGGGGCTACAGAACGCCTCCCCAGCAGAGCCCTGGTACCCAGCCCCACTGGATGCTCAGGCCTGCTGCTTAGGTCTTTTACATGAGTGAGCAGGAGTGTTACCACTGCTTGTTTCAGTTGTGCACCTGGGGAAATGTATTCCACTGACTGTCAAAGGCCAACTTTTTGGGGTACAGATTCTTAAGCTGTGAGGTCTGTGCCCAAGCCTATCTCTATTATCTGATTTGAGGTCCTGTGGAATTCAGAAAAGTTGGCAGGCCACATATTTGCATTTGATGAATTGTGCACATAACTAGAAACAAATGGATTGACAGTGAGACATTTTGGAAACTGTAAAATGATAGCTAACACTGCTGGGTCAGGTGCTGGGCCAAGAATTTTACCAGGGTTTTCTCATTCATCCTCACAGTGTCCCTTTAGAGTAAGAATTGTCATTATCCCCATTTTATCTATGAAGAAACTGAGGAACAGAAAGACCAAGAAACTGGCCTGAGATTATGTAGCTAGTGAAAGGCAAAGCTGCAAATCAGCCCAGGCAGTTTAATTATGAAACATGTGCTCTTAAACACTATCCCAAATTGCCTCTGTATTCTCTTTTGTGTCACTTGCTTAAGTAGGATCTTTGAAATAAGTAGATTCACTTGGTGTCAAAAGTGTCTTTGAATTGTGTTAATCTTGATCTAGGATTTTGAACACTAAAAGCTGGAAGGTTGGTTTGACACTGTGGCATAGTGAATATTTTGCCCACAGACAGAAATGGTCACTGTGATGAGTGATCTTTTGGGGTTATTTTAGATGCCTTATTCATTTTTCTCCCTGTTCTTTGCTTACCCTAGTCCCTTCTGTCATCTGTGGCTTAACCTAGTTAACTGCCTCAGTCTGTCTGCAGCCAAGGAGTGCTGTTAAATTTGATTGACTCTCTATTGAGAACCACTGGACTTAAAAGCATCATGCCATTAAACATGGAGTTGTATAGATACAATAAGTATGTGTATTTATAAGTAAATATAAACATATAGGCTGTATTTAGATAAGTATAATAAGTAAATGTAATAAACCTATTGTTGACAAACAAGGAATAGATGAATCAGATATTTTGATTACAGAGGTACCATAATATATTACCTTGAAAAGATGACTAATTTTCTAGATTCAGAATAGTATACAAACCATTTATCTAGCTAGAAGACATTTTCATTGTTCTTTGATTTGGAAGTATTTCAGTGCTTTGTCACGCATCAGGTCTTACTTCTGAATGTCAAGTCATCTCACCTATGAAAAAAGAAGAGTGCCCGAGGAGCTGTCCAGCCCTCTGGCTTCCATTGCTCTCTGTCATCCTCTCCCTCCTGTGGCTTGTTGCTTTGTAAAGCAGTCTGTTCTATTGGGGAAGTGCTAAATGGTTTGATTTTCTTTTTACCTTTTTACCTTTCATATTTCTTCCTGTCTAATGCCTCCCAGTTTCCTCTATTATTAACAGTGTATGTTAGTATGCTGTGTTTGTTCCAATTAATGAACCAATATTGACACATTATCATTAGCTAAAGTCCATAGTTTATTTGGATTTCTTTAGTTTTTACCTAATGTTCTTTTTTCTGTTGCAGAATCCCATATTCCATTTGATTTTCATGACTCTTTAGGCTCTTCTTGGCTGTGACATTTACTCAGACTTCCCTTGTTTTTGATGATTTTTTTGACAATTTTGAGGAATACTGGTCAGGTATGTTGTAGGATGCTCCTTCATTTGGAATATTTTTTATGTTTGTCTCCTGATTATGATGGAGTTGTCTGTTTTTGAGAGTAAGGTAAGAAAAATAAGTGTGGCTTAGACTTATCAGACCACATACATTTCATTTAAATTGCTCTTGAGCCTACTGTCTAGGAACTAGGGTGTGTACTTCCATATGACTCGTGGTTGGAGATGTTGCCCTTGATCTCCTGGCTGAAGGAGTGCTAGGTTTTGCCACAGTAGTTTCCCCTCCCCCCTCCTACTTTATACCATGCTCTTCAGAAGCAAATCATGTGCATAGTCCACAGTTAAAGAGTGAAAGGTTTTGCTCCCTTCCTTTAGGGTGGAACATCTACATAATTCTTCTGCATGGGGGATTTTATTTGCTGTTCAATTCTTAATATGCTTGAATTGCTCTAGTTTTGGCCATTGGGAGTTCTTTCAGTTGGCTCCTGTGCTGTTCTGACATATACCACCCGTTTGACATATGCTCTGTGTGTGTGTGTGCGCGCGCGTGCGCGTGTGCACCACATCTGTGTACAGTCTTCCTTTCTGGTAGGACAGGATGCTCCAGGTTTATCTGGGGGTTTTCCCCCATTTTTTACCGGTTCATTACAATTATGCTTAATGGTGGGATTGGTTATTACATATCCATACATGCACAAAATGTGACAGTATAATTTGGCCAATGTCACTCCCCTTCCTATCAAACCCTTTTCCTCTATTCTAATGAGCTCCCTTTGATTTTCATGAGATTCCTACCTCCCTCCCACCTTTCTTTTTCTTTTTCCTCTCTAAATTTCACATTTGAGAGAAAACATACAACCCATGATCTTCTGAGTTTGGCTTATTTCACTTAACATAATGGTTTCAAGTTCCATTCATTTTCCTGCAAATGACATAATTTCATTTTTCTTTATGGCTGGGAAAAACGCTATTGTGTATATATACCATTTCCATTGGTGGACATCTAGGCCGGTTCCACAGTTTGGCTATTGTGATTTGTGCTGCTATAACCATAGATGTGCATGAATCACTGTAGCCTTGCTGACTTTAATTCTTCAGGATAAATACTGAGAAGTGGTGTAGCTGGCTCATGTAGTGGTTCCATGCCTAGTCTTTTGAAGAACCTCCATACTGCTTTCCATAGTGGTTGTACTAATTTACAGTCCCACCAACAGTGTAAAAGCATTCTTTTTTCTCCACATCCTCTTCAACATTTATTATTGTTTGTATTACTCCTGATAACAGTCCAGGCTTATTTGCTTTTTATCCCTGTCTTAGACAGTGTGGCTGACCACTTACCTTCTTGGGACCTTGTGCTCTCAGTTTCCAGTTGAAGTGATTAAATTATATTAATTTGTTCATGAGTATTTCTGATTGCATGTGATGTGCTGGGCAATATTTGAGGTCATGACAGCATGATGAAGAGAACAAACTCTAGTCCTTGCCTTCACGGGATCAGTATTTGTTAATCTGTTCTGTGTTGGACACTGTCCTAGGTTTTGAGAATTTATGAATTGGTAGAGAATAGAGACAACGATAGGTAAGTAGACAAAATTACAACTGTAAAAAAAATGTCACAAAGGCAACAACATGGGAGGATACCGCTCCTCTAGGCAGTGTTATTGGGAAAAGCCTCTCTCTGGAGGCGACACTGAAGCTGAGGTCTAAGGGAAGAAAGAGAAAAGGAGCTCTTGTGTGTCCCAGCATTGCCTCTCTCAAGTTCTAATGATAGTAGCTTCATGCAGCCATTTGCTCTTCACCTCTCCCCCTTCTTCAGGGCTTTTCATGATCAAATCCAGGGACTCTGAATGGCAGAACATTAAATAGATTTACTGTTCCTTTCTGATGTTTAATGAATACTTCTTTTCTTGGCCCATGATTCTTAAGCGAGTAGGAACAAGAGGGATTAAATGAAGTATTTATGTGCTCTGACAAGTCTAAACCAGAGATTTCCCCTCATAGGTGTCTGCCAGGCACATGCTGTCCCCAGAGCAGTTTCCTTTGGGTACTGGGGATTGAACCTAATGTAAGCCAGGCAAACACTCTACCACTGAGCTATATCCCCAGCCCTGGCCTGTTGTGTTTTAAATATTGGGAAATTTCACCTACCCGCCCTCCCTGAGTTTCCATTGATACAGATAGGGTCCTGTGGCTATAGCACTGTGATCAGTCAGAACTGGAAGGCGGCGCCCCCTTCTGCTGGGATACGCGACTCAGATCTCGCAGCTCCCTCTTGCTGACCTGCTTTCCTCACTTTGTCCTAGCAGCATTGCCTCCATATTGGAATGTTGTGTTAGCCCTTGAAGATAGAGGCTTGCTAAAACTTAATGGCTCACCACTTACGTCACAGAACACAGAGCCGATATAAACACTGCCTTCAAACAGTCTACGTTCTTACGTATAGGTGGCAGGAAGCAGATGGTCTATTAATGTATAACTCAGGATGGCCATCTGTACTAACAAGAAACAGCTACAGAAACCTCAGGAAGTCTGGCCTCAACCAGAGAGGCCTGTGACCTGCAAATTTTAAAATAATTTTTTTTTAGAATAAAGTCTCCTCCTTTCTCAATACCATATCTCTAGACTTGTTTGGCCAGTGTGTGGCAAGCAGACTAATTTGGGTCCAGTGACATGGTTACCTATCTGGTCCTGTGAATATATTCAACTAAAAGATGTTTCAGAAGGATTTTTGTGTGTGTGTGTTTAAACATCTTCTGCATATGGATAGCCAGTTTTCCCAGCACCATTTATGAGGGACTATCCTTTTCCCAATGTGTATTCTTGGCACCTTTCTCAAAAATCAGTTGGTGTTAAGTGCCTGGATTTATTTCTAGGCTATTTTGTTCCATTGGTCTATGTGTCTGTTTTTGTGCTAGTGCCATGCTCTTTGGATTACTATAGCTTTATGGTATATTTTGTAGTCAGGGAATGTGACGTCTCCAGTTTTGTTCTTTTTGCTCAAGATTACTTTGGTTATTTGGGGGCTTTTGTGATTCCAAGTGAATTTTAGTATTGGTTTTTGTGTTTCTACGAAGGACATCTTTGGTGTTTCCATAGGGATTGTATCATCTGTGCCCAGGGTCAGCCTGCTACGAGGACTTTCATGACTGGGAACTTCTCTTGGTAACTGCTTATTTATCCTGTACCTGGACTGCCTGGTGGTAGGCACTTGAAATGCTTATAGCGTAAATAAATAAAGCATATTTTAATTTGAGTGTATATTTCATCTCTAAGAGGCACGGGTACTTAAAAGACACAAATTCCTTGTTGGTTTTGTTTGCTCTGGGGCCTGGGTCCATCATGGGACTAATTTAAAAATACTTGTGGAATAAAAGAATGAGTTACATCTTGAAAATAAAACAACACATTTCCGAATTCAGACAGGTGGGTTTTGTTGTTTCGTTTTCTTCAATAAGTAACCATTTATGTGGTTTTAAGATCAAAATGTAGAAAGAACCATGATGGAAATTTTGCCTCCTTCTGTTCCTCTCTGACCAGCGCAGGGGCCTCCCACCCCTCAGGCTCGTTCAAGCAAACACCAACAACTATTCTTATTTTACCTTCTTACTGCTTACTAAAAGTGGCTTACTAAAAATAACATTCTCCTTGCAACTCTTTACCCTTGACATATTTTGAGGATCTTACATTAATAGAGAGCTTCCTTCCTTTTTTCCCCACAGTTGAAAAAATATATTTTATTGTTTGTGCATATTATAATTTATTTAAAGAGTACCTCATTGAAGGGCATTTGGAATTTTCTAAACATTTGCTACTGAGAATAATGCTGCAGTTGGATCTCTTGAATATATGTCATTATCTCTATGATCAATTCCTAAAAAAGTGGAATGGGCTAGAGTAAGGCGTATACACATATGTAATTTTGATATGTGTTACCAAATTGCCCTCTGTAGGGGTTGTGTCATTAGTAACATATGTGATATTTGAGATGTTTTTAAAATAATATTTATTCTGTTTTGTTTAGTTTTCTTTGATGAGTTAGAGGATTCATGTTGTAGGCTGCCTGAATTTTGATAAGAGTATGAAGATTATTCTAGATCATTGGTTCCCAGTAATGGCCGAAGATCCTCAAGGGGTTTTTGGATTCACATGTTAAACAAACATCAACTTTGTCTCATAGATTCATTTTACAGGTTTCAAGGGCATATCGAGACTGTTGCATTGGCTAGAGTACTGATTCTTCTAATTGCGTGTGCCTGCGTTTCATTAGGAACTGCTCAGCAGCTTTTGATGGTGCCCTTGTCTTCCTTGGCCCATGGATGTTTTGCTGCCGTTTTTGTCTCTGTCAGTTGTTTCAAAGTAACCTAGTCTGTGGATGTAGGCGAAAAGAACCAAAAGACCACGTGTGCTATTTGAATATTTTATAATAAAAACATTCTTTCTCTTGTAGATGTCCCTTTGAGAACCAGCCTTCCACCACCATTCAGAAATTATAAATATGGTAACTGATTTTTCTTTTTCTTTAAATATGTATATTCATATAATTTGGCATTAGTTTTTTGTTGACACAAATTCACATTTGGCTTTCAAAAATGAATTTACTATCTGCAAATAAAAACCATTTTGGAAGTTTATTTAGGAATATAAGAATTCTAGAATATTGTTAAGGTCTATTGTAATTTTATAGAGAAGTGCTATATAGGTGAAGAATAGCATGTTTGGCAAAACTATATCTAAGATGGGTTTCTTTGCAGGGAATCAGAAGGAAAAATGAGGACTAAGAGTTTAATATTTTCAATATGATGTAGTAGTTTTATATGATGCAACTGGTTATTTAAAAGTATAGTAAAAAGCTGGTTGTAATTATTCACTATAAATATGGTATTCAGCAGACTTGAATTCGAGACTGTATTTGAAAGTTATGGTGCACCTAATGCATATTTCTGTTAATTGGTGCAGACATTTTAAAGCATAAATTTTTTATTACTTTAGATCATTTTTTTGGAGTGGCTTTTCATTCTGTTCCCATTCGATAGGGCAGCTCGTGACCTACAGTCCTTTGAAATCACAATCTTCTCCGTGCGTCTGCATTTTAATATCCAGAGACTAATTGTGAGGTCATAAGGGGTAGTCAAGCAGAAGTTGAAGGCACTGAGTGGAAAGTACTTTGATTTATTGGCCCTAAAGAATTTACATACTCAATATTGAATAAGAGAAAGGAATAAAAAGCATGATTAAGGTAAATATGAAACTTCTCAATTGTAGCTTTCATGGCTTTTGAAGTGTAATGCCCTGAAATATAACCTTAAACTTGAATCAACCTACAGATGCCATTTCAAATTAGAATAGTTACATATGGTTTCCCTTTTTGCATGGTGTGTGTATCTATATGCAAACCTGTGTTCCATGCAAGTTATTTCAAAAGATAAATTTTAAATAATGAAAGCATCAGAGTATCTGAGTCGCTAAGCAGCATTGGGGTAGATAATGTACCTTTTAGCTTATCCCATCTCATTAACGCTCTTTCATCCTGGTGTTTCTGTATATTCAGGTGAATTGGCAGAAAAAGCTAATACATTTGTCAGAGAAGAAATTATAGAACCACTAGTGTTTTGATAGACTTCAGGTGGTTCTTTCTTTGAGTTTGGCTCTTTAACAATCTGCTGCTTTGTGTTGAGCAGGAAGGCTAGAGTGTTGCTTTTCACCTGTCATTGTCCTCAGTATGCTGCATGGCCCCTGGGAATAGAACACTGTTTTGGGTGGTGGGGAGTAGAAAGGGTGTAAAGTAGTTACTGTCTCTGTGCCTTTGGGCAGAGGGCTGTGGTCTTGGCCACCCACTGTCTGAGATTTCTCAGAACCCCTTCTTCCATTTAATTGTCTTCATCGTCATCTATTATTGATTTAACCACTCATGCTACTTATTTTTAAATCCTTACTACCTAGACGTAATACATTTGTGCACACATTAATGTTGATTGATGTACAGCATGTGGCTGCTAATCCCTGCCTGTTTCATGAGGCTGTGTGAAATTAAATTATGCACGGGCCAACTTGTTAAATGTACCCCAAACAAATGATGTAAGGTTCCTTTCCTCAAGGAATTTGCATTAAGAAAACAATGCCCACAGATGTTGTTTTTGTTAATAGCAAGTCTAAAAAAATTGAGTCTATTTTTTAAGAAGTTAAAACAAGTAAAGGAGATTATTCAACAAAGAAAGAGACATTAATACAACATCTTTTGTTAGCCTGTCATTTTTCCTTCCTTGTCCTCCTCTTGGGTCCTGCCAATTTGTGTCGGGGAGAAAAATCAGGTGAACTTTTCCAATCACAGCATTTCTCTCTTTCTTTCTCTCTCTCTTTCTTTCTTTTAAATGTAGACTTCCTATTGTGGGTTTGCTGGATCTATTAGAGCAAAGTTATTTCAAATTCAAAGGCTTATTAGCAAAATATATAGAACATGATTAATATTTATAAGGTCAAACTGTAGTTTTGCAGCTTGATTATAACAGACTTTAAGCCTCTTTTATTAAAAAAATTACTGTTGACTTCTCTAACTTGTCTCAAGTAATAAACCAATACCTATTCATAGTGAGAAAGAGAATATAATAGGCAACTCAGAATAATAGATAATCCAAAAGTCACATTTGTTTATGTTCTCATGTCCATTGTAATTTTATTTTTAGCATCTGTGGCATGTTTACATTCCTGATGTGCATATTTTACTTGGTTAAATTTATTTATTTTCTTAAAAATATAGTTGTAGGGTGTAGGTCTTGTTTAAAATCGCAATTAAAAAATTGCATTGGATAGTTGAAAGTTGACTATTTAAAATAATCGGTAATGTCGAGTGCCAGTTCTTAACTAGGTGATTGGTACCCTATTCTTTCTTCAGCACTAAGACAACATAGTTGAATTGAGGTCTTTAAAAAAATAATATCCTTTTATTTCATATCACTATTGGAATTTCTTGTTATAGCATTATTGATAGAAATGAATTTTAGTGTAAGTTTTAGAGCTTATTCAGATAAAGTTATAATTTAGTCAATAAATGGCTGAATAAAACTGAGTAAAGAATCAGAAACTTCTGGAATTTAAACATGTTGAATGGCTACATCTGCTATGTAATTAGGGGCTGATTATCTCAGAGTTAGAATGTTATCCAAGTGTGAAGAAATTGCCTGTTGCAAAAGGACCTTGTGGCCTGACTTCAGGATAAACCGATTAAAGAATGAAATTGGGTTTGAATAAAACATACTGGACCATGGAAGCCTGTGCAGTATTTGAAAACCAAGAAGCAGATCTTGGTATTTTTTAGTCATTAACAGCCCTGCTTAGATTACCGGTGATCCCAGGTAATGTTAGAAATCTAAGAACAGTCACACTTTTTCAGCATGATCATTGAACCTCCTGAGAGCTTAATAGTTTTTTAAACTGCTTTTGTTACTGTCTGTCATTATTTTATATATAATATATAAATATAATTATATATACTATATAAATGTGATTATATGTAATACATAAATGATTATAGATAATATATAAATACAAATGCATAAAATTAAACCTGTAGATAAGATTATATAGATGTAATTTTTGATATTATCTGCTAATCTTAAAATTTAGTGACTCTAAAAAACAAAATGGAGTAATGTGATTTGCTTGTCTTCTGTTCAAAGGAAAAAATGTGTCGAGGTGACTTCAGGTTATCTCTCACACACACAAACACACACACACACACACACACACACAGAGTTGTGTGTCAAAGCCCAAGGCTTTAAAATATCTGTGTACTTTTTTTTTGTTGTTGTTACCAAGGATTAAGCCCAGGGGTGCTTTACCATTGAGCTACATCCCGTGCTTTTTTATTTTTTGAGATGGGATCTTGTTAAGTTGCTGAGGCTGGCCTCAAACTCGTGATCCTCTTGCCACAGCCTCCCAAGTCACTGAGATTAGAGGCATACAGCACCACACCTGGCTTCTCTGTGTACTTTTATCTTTGTGTGTGTGTGTGTGTGTGTGTGTGTGTGTGTGTGTGATTTTCTGGTGCTGGGGATGGGACCCAGGGTCTCCTACATGTAGGGCAAGTGCTCTACCAATGAGCTGCACACCCTCAGCTCCCTTAATTTAAATTAAATTTTAAAATTTAATTTAAAATTTAATTTTATCTTTAATTTTAATGATTTTCAAAAGTAAATTTCCTTTTACTCTATAACAGATTTTTAAGTAAATGTGTTCATAAAATTATAAAGAACTTAGAATTTCTCAATTTCATAGGTACTCATTTGTCTCTCTAATAATGTCAAAAGAAGTCTTAGAATATTCTGTGTAAAGAGACAATTTGCTTTTTTCTTTCAGATAAACTGAAGATTATTCACCAAGCACATAAATCAAAGGTACGTTCCACTTGTGTGGTATCTGGCACTTAGCAGTAATCAATATTAGTTGAACTGGTGAGTAAGTGAATGTGCATGTAAGTCTTTTCCATTATAATAGCATTTTTTATCTTATAGGTACTCTTTCTATAGCCTTACTTTCTGATTAGAGAATTAAACAAACAAACAAAAAAACTAAGCTGTATATACCTGCTCATAGATTCTTTTAAAAAGTGTTAATAAAATAAAACATACCAGGGCTGGGGCTATAGCTCAATAGAGTGCTTGCTTTGCATGGCCCTGGGTTCTAATCCCCAGCACCACACACACACACACACACACACACAAAGCATCCCGTATATTTATATAACATAAACATAAAACAATAAAGAAATATAAGGAAGCCACTTATTATCTGTCAGTCTAGTCTCTTTGACTTTCTTAAGTCCACAGAAGAACTGGGCTAGAAGCTGACCCAGAGGATCTGCTTGCCGTGGTGCTTGCTGTAAGAGAAGGTTCAGGACCACAGCTCACTCTACAGAGGGCGCCATCTGCAATCTGAATTCTGTCCTTTAGCTGTTTGTGTGTGTACCATATGTTTACATTGCTCTTTTCTTACTTTAGTCATGTTTTATTAAGCCACAATCAAAGGTTTACTTCTCATTACAGAGCAGTCTTTTTTCTCAGTGGCCTTCCCTATGATGTTCACTCAGGGACAAGGGACCATGTCTTATTCTGTATGCCTCTTGTATCTCCAGTACCTTGGGCAATGCCTGGTTCACAGGAGTTTTTCCAAAACAAGTTTTGAATGAAGTATTTATAAAGTTCATTTTGTTTCATTCTGTGTGTAGTCATAGATATACTCCATGAACTCAATCAGCTTTCAAAAAGATGTATGCCACAGATCACAAAGAGGGTATGTCTGTTGCCTCTGGATTAGTAACTTTGTGGGATTTTTCTTTTGTATGTGCAAATTTTATCATATCCATTGTCAAGTACCTCATTCTCACAGGTGTCAGGGATCAAGTGTGGCATCTTCCCCTCCTTTGAGTACTAGAAAGTTCTGCCACTATATCTGGCCACAGACTTCAACCATTTTCTCTTCTCCAGGTCTGAAATGTTTTCAACTTGGTCCCTAAAATGTAGAGAAGAGCAACTGTGGTTCTATTTTATATGGAATAAACATATGTAAATTTGTTATAAAAATATAAATAAAGTTGAAATGAAGCAATATGCTCTTGGAAAAAGTTGCAAAGCAAATTGTGCATGTCATTCTCCATTCAGTGTTAATTTTAAATTGTTGGTCTTGCTTGTAAGCTTATGTTTCCTAGAAAGAGGAATTGGCAAATTCTTCATTCTTTGTAATGAAGACCATGTTCATCATGTTCAAATAATCAGTAGTATATGTAAAAAATATTTTTAAAAAATTTTCCTTCAGGAAAAAAAAATTTGAAATAAAAACTTAGAAGAAAAAAAAATCTTAGCAGTGTTATTTACACTTAAAATGCATGTCTCTCCCTGGTGTGTTATATATAGAGTCATCCCTCAGGATTGGTTCCAGGACATTTGTGGATACCAAAAGCCACAGATTCTCCATATTCCTTATATAAAATGGTATAGTATTCGTGTATAACCTATGTGTGTTCTCCCATACACTTTGACTCATTTCTAGTTTACTTATAATACTTAATACAATGTAAATGCACTGTAAATGATTGTTATACTATATTGTTTAGGGAATAATGTCAAGAAAAAAGTCTTCACACGTTCAGTACAGATGCAACCAGCATAGTCCAAACCATGTGTTCAGCCTGCAGCTGATTGACTTTGCAGATGACCAACCTTCCATACAGAAGACCAGCTGTAGTTTCAAAATTAGGACTATTTTTTTTTCAGTTGAACAAATAATTTGTTTAATTATTTGGTAGATCCCCAAAACAAATGAAGTCACTTAGAATGTTTCTGGACTCTGGCTTTATAAAACTTCATTTAACCGTAACAATCCAAGTCCAGACTCTGTACCCTGGAGAGGCTTCTTGAAGCTTCTAAAAGATAACATCTGTTTTTACAGATACAGTTTTAAAACTTCAGAAAAACTTCACCTACATGTTCTTATTGGTGCCTTATATGACTACAGGACATTTTTCTCATTTCCAAGTGATTGCTGTCTTTTTATCTTCTATTTCCGTCTGCAAGGCCTATAGCATCTCTGGCCAAGCTTGTCAGTTTTCTAGGCCAGTTGGAATTTTAATTTCTTTCCTCAGCCAAAGCGAGAGACTTCCAGCTAACCCTTAATAAACTCGTTCACATAAGGGTCTAGAGACTTTCCTAATTGCAATTACCAGGTGTCCTCAAAAATTTCTTCTCATCACCACAATAAAAAGGCTGTCTGGATCCCTGCCCACCTAACTAAGCCTCCTGTTTGGACTATGAGCTAAGTGTCTTTTAGTGAATGAATAAAAGTAGAATGCAAATGATTATCATAATATTACTGTGCTATGATTATCAAGAAATTCATAAAAATGTGTGTATGAGTATTATGGATTGTAATCAGTAGGCTGTTTATATTATAGTGAGAATAATTTTTGCTAGAAAGATTTGAAATAAAAACTTTGATCTCCATCTTACATTTTGTGGGTTTGGAAATCAAATAGCTATCCTTATTAAAGGAAGAAATCATATCCTCGAATAAACTGTGTAAGAAATGTGCAAAATCTTCAAGAAGGAAATTTTTATTATTAATTTATTGTGCTAGAGATTGAACCCAGGGCCTCACACATGCTAAGCAAGTACTGTACCACTGAGCTACACCCCAAACCCAGAAGAAAATTAAATGCTACTGTTCTTTCCCATCTTCACCACAAACATACTTGAAAAATGAATCCAAACTCTGGGAATAATTATTCAGTCTCATAAAGTAAGCTCCTCTTAAGATCTATGCATTTTATTATGTTAAATTCTACTTTAGTTTAACAACAACAACAAAAAAGTGAAATATACTATGAGGAATCCAAAATAAGACTTACACAGAAATATTTATGATATTTTGGATAGGAACGTGCAATAGTATGAAGATGTCAATTCTTGGTTAATTTACAATTTTAATAGTACCTCGATAAAGTACTAATAGTTGCATATATGTAAATTCTAGAAGCTTATTAAAAAGTTAATACATTAAAAGTAAGAAGAGAAGAATTCTGAAAAAAAATGAGTGATTAGCCCTAATATATATTAAGACATTATTATAAAATTCTAATAATTAACATTGTGTGGTACTGCCACATGAACTGGTAGTTCAGTGGCACAGAATTAAAAATCCAAATATGGACTCAAATATACATGTAAATTTAGTGTATAGTAAATATGGCATTTCAAATCTATGGACAAAAGATGGAGGATTCAGTAAATGGTATTGAAATAGCTGGGTTGACATCTAGAAGACTAGTTGAATTCCTATCTTTTTCTTTATGCCCAAATAAATCCCCATTGTTTTAATGACTCATGTAAAATTTAAATTCATAGATGAGGTTAGAGAAGAAACAGGTTGAACCTGAGTTGATAATTTGTTCAAGTTGGGTAATGGGTATGGGGCGGAATTCATTACACTATTCTATATATATTATATGTTTGAATTTCTCCACAATTAAAAGTTTTAAAAATGAAATTCATAAAAATATGTGAAGAAAACATGGAATTTAAAACATAATCTTGCAGTGGAGAAGTCTTTCGAAATATGATAGAAACTGAGCAATCATAAAAGACTGACATTTTATTTCATTCATTAACTTATTCAATAAAAATAAGTTAGCAGGAGGTAAAGAAGAAGGTACATTTCTCTTCCCCCTTTCTAGAGATGAGGAAACTGAGTCTTAGTTTATGTAGTTTGTTTGCACACAGCTGAGTGCTGGGGGAGTCTGGATTTGAACCCACCTCTAACTGGAAGTCCAGGGCTGTCACAGTGCACAGTGTCTGCACTTAGTAGGTCTGCACTGTGTATCCCTTAATGCCATTAAGGGAGTAGAATGTGACTTGATGTGACTCGGATTATTACTGTGACTCCAGCTCCACCTCTTTGGGAAGTCTTGCTGAATGCAGAAGCATATCAGTATTGATGAAATGCATGTTTTCTTTCTTTTTAGACAAATGAACTGGTGTTGAGTTTGGAAAATGATGACAGACTCCTGCTAAAAGAAGACAGCACCCTGAAAGCAGCCGGAATTGGTGAGGAAGGGGAATGATCTTGCTGAAGGGGCACTCACATTTCTGGCCTATGTGGCCAGGCCTGGCTGGTTATATTTGATGACTCCCTGTGATCTGAATGCCGCTTGTTGCTCTTCATACTCTCCCATCCCTATTCAAAGGAAGAGGAAAACGCATTCTGATCATTTGACCAAGGGCAGTTGTTACCTTCTCACCAAATGTGCAAAATGAAAATAGTTCGTTCAGAAGGTTTGCTCAGAATCCTGTTGAGGGTCATTTTAAATGATTGACAGGCTATTAGTACCATGTCTACTTACTCTCATCAGTGTCATTCGAGCCGATGGTTTGAGAGAAATGGACGTAGTAGAACTAATGTGGAATAATGAAATGAGATGTTGTTTGTATAACGTGCATCGTGGCTTCTGATAGTCATCCAAGTCACTCAGGGCTGACTAAGGCACAGAATTTTAAATAGGGACCTAGTGTGTGCAGTTGAAGAATTGCCTGATTTAACTATTAAACCTAGAATGTGTGTATAGTTCCAATTTTTAAAAAATGTTATGTGACATATCTTGTGGCCATTAGATGTCACTGTTATTCTACTTACACGGTCACCTTAAGCTGATCTGGCAATAGAGGAGTACAGATTAGCACAGAGGTCTGAGCAGGTGAAGGCATTGTGTCACTGACACACCTCTGTGGTCTGTGACCATGATGCAACTTCACAAATCACACTTCCTTCAAAACATGCAAGGTGAGGTCCACACTGGGTACCTGTACATTTTTTGTTTGTTTGTTTTATTCTGTTGAGTTTTTTTTTTTTTTAATTGGGGATTAAATGCAGGAGTGTTTTTACCATTGAGCTACAACCCCAGTCCTTTTATAAAATATCCATATTTTGAGACAGGTTCTTGCTAAGTTGCTAAGGCTGGCCTCAAACTTAAGATCCTCTTGCCTCAGCCTCCCAAGTTGCTGGGAGTATAGGTGTACACCACCTCACCCAGCAGGAATTCACTTTTGAAATGATTCACGTGAATAATGTGAATTTCTGACATGGGAATTTCTATTTAAATAGAATTTTACATGGCAGGTTGTAAAATCAGACTTGTTTCAGTGTATAAGTCTGTGCTATTTGCTAGGATCAGTGTCGTTCCCTATAATAAATATGTGAGATGGATTGTTATTTGAAAAGCATTATTTAATTGGCACTTATTTCTTCAAATGTTATTACATTATTGTATCAGGTGGCTCCTGTGTTATTGAGACATGTGGCACCTAGGGGTAGCCCTGTTTGTCTTTAAAGCATAAAGTTATAATGAATATAATAGACTGGCCTTGTTGTGGGAATTGGCAGATAGCTCCTTGGAAAAGGTTAGAAAATGCAAAAAACAAACCAAAAAAAGAAAGAAAGGTAAGATTTTTAACAAGATGATGCAGTTGACATCTCATATAAATGGGAAAAGATTGAATTAACCAGAAAATCACATCAGGTCCATTGCCAAAATATTCAGGAAAATAAATTTCAGATTTTATCTCAGTCTTTATTCCAAAATGAATTCTAGATGAAGTAAATGTTATACTGTAAAAATTAACAAAACAAAATATGCAGCTCAGTGATAACCTAATATTGGAGAGAGAAGAGCTTTCTGAACATGACTCCAAAGGCCAACGCCATCAAAGGGGAAAGCAAGGGATTTGACCAAATAACCCCCCCCAAATTATAAACCATTAAAGGAGAAACAATGAACTATGAAAATTATGTGAAACATAAATGAAAGATAAAGTTATTAGCCAGACTTTTGTAAAGAACTCTTGTATTAGTATGAAAGGATACGAAATCTGATAGAAGGTATAGCTAACATAGGAAAAACAGTTGTACCTTATTGGTAATGAGGGATGCACATTAAAATAGACACTGCTTTTTATCATGGTCTAGTGGTTAAGAATAACAGCCCAGAGCCAGCGTGTGGGGGTCAGACCTTGATTCTGCTTCTCACTCTATGGGTGACCTTGGTCAAGTAGCAGTTAGTACAAGATTAGCGGTTGTGAAAAAAAATGCAGTACCCAGGGGAGCCCCTGGTGTAAGGAAATGGTGTTCTCAGTACCACTGTTGGGAATGTATGTTGCCTCTCATGTTCCATAGATCAAGTTGAACATTCTCTTGTGTTTGTTACTAAATCAGATATGTGCTTCTTCAAACTCTGAGGTTGTGGTCTGTCTTCAGAGCGATGGTGGGGTTCTCTTTTACCTTCCCTGTTTGTGAATCACTGACACAGGAATTTTTATATAGCAAAGAATAATGTGCAGTACCATTATCCTTTGGAAATGTATCCATAGACATGTTTGTATTTGTACACAGAGAAAAGATCATATACCACAATTATAGAAATGCTTTCTCAGGGTGGTGGTATCGCCAGTAAACTGAGTTTTTCCTTTTTTCTCTGTATTATCTTAATGTGATTATTGGGATTTGCAAAATTTTTCATAGTTTATAAGTATTCCTTATAATTAAGGAACCAGTTTTTCAAAAGAATAATAAATCCCTAATCACTTGCTTTGTGATTAAGCCACTAGGCCTCTCTGAACTTAAGTTTTGTTTTCTGTATAAATGTGAATAATGAAACCTCTTTCAGAAGGTTTCATACGGATTGAAAAGAATGAAGGTGTCCAGGACAATGCATGGAAAAGGCCCTACAAAATAACTATTTTATTTGGAACCCATTTTGGAGATGGCATTTGGCAAATATTCCGAATTTGCTAGGACAGAGTTTGCCTTGTTCTCATTTATTTCAGACTGACTTATGTAACGAACCATCTTTAAAAGCAAGAATTAAATCCCTCTTTTCGTCATTCTTGTTTTCAGGCCACAGAACTTTGATCAGATTCAGATCCTTTTCATGGTTTCTCCACTTGGGTCAGGGTGGTATGGGGAGCAGACCGCCCCTGAGACCTAGGCAGAGCAGTGGCCTTGTCCATGGCGCGACTTCAGTCCCTGCCAGGAGCTGTTTCCTCTGTTATTTCCTAGCAGCTTGTTGCTGTCCTCCTGGCAACAAGCCAAGGTGGTACCCAGGCAAAGAAATGAGGATCCCCAGAGAGCAACAGAAAATTCTAAGTAGGAACTGAGTTGCAAAAAATGATAATTGAGAGTCAGGCATGGAGGTGCACACCTGTGATCACAGCTGAGGTGGGAAGATCTCAAGTTCAAGGCCAGCCTGGGAAGTTTACTGAGACCCTCTCTAAAAATGAAATAAAAAGGCCTGGGGATGTAGCTCAGTGGGAGAGCACTCTCCTAGCATGTGTAGGCCCGACTTTAATCCCAAGTACCACACCAAAACCACAAAGAAACAAAGACCGTGATACTTGAAGTATGTGATTTTTCTAGGGAATTTTCCCTCCCTCCCTCCGTGCTGTGTCTGATTAGGTTTCTAAGAGGTTTAAGAGAAAAATTCGAAGTCATCCCTCTCTCCCTTTTCACCACTTGATCTTGCTGGAGAGCTGTCACTCTGCTATCACAGCCAGTTGCCATGGGAATAATGCCAGTGTAACAAATTTATCATTATGACTCTTCTCCAGGAGTCATGAAAGGGAAAGAAAGACTGGGAGGGGGAAATCAGGGGGGAAACTTGCTTTCAGAGTCTTTCATCTGCACCACAGATCCCCACTGTGTAGTCCACGTCTTACCCTGGTGCAGAAATACATAAATAAAAACAATTTCCTTTGTGGAAGGAAGAGAGAGGAGAATTTTACCTAGAAATGTTGTTTAAGATAGAAAAATTTTTATCTTGTTTTTAACAATAGTTTATGGATTAATTTTTCTAAGTAATAAATTGCAGGTAAGTTGTGGGGTGGGAGATATTTTATCTCTTTCATTTTGCTGCATCCTGCTACTATTTATCTTTTGAATCCACTCTGGTATAAGAAAGAAATTGTGGCAGAGAAATTCTTCTCAAGCCAGTTGTGTTTTCTTGGAAATGTTTTAAAGCAAGTTACAGTAGGCCAGACTGTATGCACTTATTTGAGGAAAGAGTTGTTGTCAAGCCAGTTGTCCCTGTAATAATTCCAAAACTCCCTCGTGGTCTGTTTTCATTTTGCTCCTGTCATCTATCCCCGACTAGAACCTGGTCCTGTGCATCACATCTCTGGTTTTCTCCTCCATGTGGCTAAGACAGGTTTCTTTTCTTCCTGCTTCTTTATCAGGATCATGTTTGACTTGTGTTTCCTTAAGGTTTGGGCCTTTTCCCTATCTTGAGGCGTCCTCATTTTCTTCTTTGACAGAGCCCCAAGTGGCTCCTCTTCATGCTGACATTGTAACAGCAATGTTCATTGTAACAGTTGACTTGCTTAGAAATCAGTGATTTCAGAACAAGGAGTCAGAATGCACTGCACAGATTGTTCTTCCCTGGCTTCTATTTATTTTTTGCATTTTAAAAAATTATCTTTGACAATAATTGTACATATTGATGGTAAAAATGAATATTTTGATACATATGTATAACATGTAATGATCAAATCAGGGTAATTAGCACATCTATTACCTCCGACATTTATGTCTTCTTTGGGTAGAAACATTCAAAATCTTTTCTTCAGGCCATTTTGGAATATACAATAAATTATTGTTAACTGCAGTCACCATACTGGGTTTAGCACATTAGAACTTATTTCGTCTACCTAACTAACTTTATACCCATTGATCAATCTCTCCCTAACCTATTTCCCACCCAGTTTTACTCTCTAATTCTATAAAGACATTCTTTAGCTTCCACATGTAAGAATATATAGTATTTGTCTGCCTATTCTTTCTGTCCCTGGCTTATTTCCCTTAACATAATGTCCTCCAATTCCATCCATGTTGCCACAAATGACAGGATTTCACCCTTTTATGCCTGAATAATATTCCACTGTGTGTATGACTGTCCTTCCCATTTTACTTTCCTCTTGCCACTATGGAAATTGCAGGCACATGCTCAGTCAGTCCAGTCAGTTTTTACCATTTGTTTTCTTAGGTCTGTAGTTTGGTATCTCTTACCAGTTGATCCAAAACACTTTTAAAGCAGGTATGACAAGAAGAGCACAGGAGTTGCTCTCTTTACTGGATTGTGAGCTGCTTTGGTGAAAACTTTGAAATAGAACTCAGAGCATCTCTTTGATTTGTAGATTGGGGTTTTGTGGAGTTTGGAAAGATATGGTGGATTCCTGGAGCAGGGCAGAGGGTGAAACTTTGTTTCAGATTTGGTCTCAGATTGCCCCATGAATCTCCTTTAAGTACACACACACACACACACACACACACCCGTGGTATAATTTTTAAAAATCTGCAGTGATTACCACATGACAGCTTGTCCTGATCACACCACAAAGCCAGTGCACACTTCTCGGTTTCCTTTCCCTAGCCCACAGGGGCTGACCCTTATACTACTTTGGGGCCAACCAGCTTGAGGCTTAAAAAGCAAGCAGCGAATCCTTGTCAGTAGATAAGTTCACTGAGATAGTGAAGGAGTTAAAAAACATTGCATTTAACTTATTTTGGGATTACCCACTTAAAATTATTTTTTCTTGTTTTCAAGTCATTGTTAACTATTTTCCTGTTAAATAGTGTGTGTGTGTGTGTGTGTGTGTGTACGCGCGCGTGCACCTGCCTGTCTGTCTGACCCGTTAGGAAGCATTATATAATTGTTAATTTCATAGCCAAAGTTCAGATGTCCTGACTTGTGTTCATTTCATTAAACTAGAACATCAGTATTAAACTGATCCACAAATGCATTTGGAGGGCTCTGACTTGATTTCATTTGATAGTAAGACGAAGGGATGAAGTGGTGATGTATTTATTGGATTTTAGATTGCACATTCATTTCAGATTCCCATGCCAAGGCGCTCTGCACCTGACCGCACTGCCGCCTGCAGCACATTTAATTTAAAACCAGGTGCCCGAGGGGACCGCCACATGCTAGACTTCCTGAGGGTTCTTCCCCCACCATTTTTAAAGAAGCCATTTTAAATAGAATTTGGGCAGCACGAGTGTAAGGGATAATGGTGAAAAGAGCCATTGTGTAAAGGTCTTGAAAATCATTTGTAACTTGTTTTCACTTAAATCAGCAAATCAATTTGCAGTATTACATCCAGGAAATCATTCTCTAATATTTTCAATGGATTTAAAAACATTACTACTTCTGTCATTGAAGTTTTAAAATCCATTTTGTTTTATATTTTTTGAATTTCAGAGAAACTTGGAATGTGTATGTTTTCCAATATAAGGGTGAGCATTTTTTTTTAATCACCTTGAATGTTTGAGTTTAACCCATTTGTCAACCTAGCTTTGTTGAAAAAAGAACAGACTCATATGAAAATAAAATCATTACCCTGGATGATTTCATTTGGCGCCTATGAGAGATGGCCTCAATACTTTATATAAATAACAAGTCGCTCTCTAAGTTAATTAGACTCATCGCAACAAAACTGCATTGTCAGTCTTTGCTTTCTGTCAGCTTATTCTGAACCTGCTCTTCCTGTACTGCAGATCTGCGTGACATATTAGCTTCTCAAAAGGAGTACAGATAAATGTCAACTGCAGTAAGTGAAAATTGTAATTACAGGGAGCGTGGCTTGAGCCAAGTGCTGGCCGGGCAAAAACTATGTAAAGTTCCATGTGTAAATAACACATCACAGATAAAGCCTCGATCTGTGATTTTTCAGGAAGAGGGTCCCTCTTGTTCGTTCTCCATTATTGCAAATTACCTACATCTACCTCTGAGCACACCTCCTTTCAAAAAGGAAACCCATTGAGCTCTTTGTTAAAAAGATCGCTCTCTAAATATCTTCTTTGAATATGCCCCCTTTTCAATATGTTGCTGATTTCAAGTGTGGAGCCTCTTCCCCATTCTTTTAAATGCTCTTTCTTGTAAAACTGTCCTGCACACTTACCTGTTTGCTCAGGGTGCCTCTGTTTACAGCCCCTCCTCATTGGTTCCCATTCTCTCTGATGTCTCCCCCACAGTCTCACTGGGATAAGAGTTTGTGATCTGATTTTCATCCACTCAGATTAAATTTAATCTTGAAGACATAGTAGGCACTGAAAACATCATTTTGTTTTTTTCTCTGAACATGTGTTTGTTTTCTATAGTGAGCACAGTAGCTTATGATGGAGAAAGACTACATTTGATATTCTTGCAAATGGTAAAAACATTTTTAATGAGATGACATGCTAATCTCGTTAACTTCATTCTTTTGTGATAAGTTCTAATGATGAGATTAGAGCTGTAAACCACACACCAGTGGTAATCCATGGCACCCTTCTTATCATCGTATTTATTTGGCTTGAAGAGTTTTACTTGCCTGTTTTTAGAGTATATGTTAATTGCATACTCAGTATTCATTACAAATAATCTCTTCTGTTTTCTCCTCAGGATTCCAAAGGCCCTTTTGCTCTTTCTGTAAAAGCCAAGCAGACTGTATTAACTTCTGGTTTAATTTAAAAAACCAATGTGGAACTTGTTGGCGCAACACCTTAAAGAATCGCATGTTTAATAAATTGGAAGGCTTTCCATCAGATTTGTCTCCAGTCTGAATTAATAATGTTGCTGACTTATTGTTTTAGAAGATGGAGTCCTTGACCTGCTAGGTTGAAAGAATTGTGACTGCTCTGAACCTTTGTGGGTCCTTTAGCTGTGCCATCTCCCCAGTGAATAATTAGAGGTATTTGAAGGTATTGCGGTAGAAGCCAATTTGTGTCTTTCACTTTGCATATTGTTGAAGCCTCATGAATTAATCATAAGCAGGGCAAAAAATTAACTTCTTCAGACACATATTTTGATGGGTCATGAGGGAGAATGTAAAGTGATCTGTAAAATATTCTACTGATCCTCTAACTATTAAATTATTATACCTACGGGCTAATTTCAGGGAGGGGAGAGTCCCTCCCCCCTCAGGAACTGAGTAGCATATTGGAAAAAATATCAAGGTTTGTTAGTTTCCAGGACTGCAAAGAAGACTATAAATAAGCGATTTCATGATTTTCTGAAAAATCTTAATTCTTGTGTTAACTCTGGATTTTAATTTTGTAGGTTATTTTTCTTTCGACTTTTAAATTATTTTATTTTTTTAAATTATTTGATTTTTAGATTCTTACAGCTACACCTAAAACTTCTTGCTGATTTGATGAAATGTATTGTATCACCCAACAACTAACTGATATTTTTCATTGCAGGCGTCTGAAACCATTCCAAAATGCCAAACCAAAGTAATGCGGATTTCCATACTTGTTTAAAATTTAGTTTTACGTTAAAATCTCTTTTCCATTTTCTGTTTCTCTTTTTTTCAGCCAGCGAAACAGAAATTGCATTCTTCTGTGAAGAAGATTATAAGAACTACAAAGCTAATCCCGTTTCATCCTGGTGAACAACGGCTCACCTCGGGGCTTCCTCTTTGCATACCTGTATTAAGCTCTTTATTCCACTAGTGAGTTTTTGAAATTGACAAATAAATCTTTAAAAATTAATCCCAGGCTCTGCTATTTGAACTGAAATTTGGTGATTTCTCTCTCTTTAGCCAGACTGGACTTCCTTCCTTCTTTTGATAATATGAGAAAAACGTGATTTTTTTTTAAGCGGAAAAAAATTGTTATTGAATTAGTGATTCTTTTAGTGGTTTGCATGTTGGGTCCTTTAAAAAGAGAAGATCAAGGTCATATTGTTTATTTTATATTTTTTCCGTAGTTTCTGGCTAGCACAGCTGTGACTATCTTTGGCTGCCGGAGATGGGAAGAGGCTCTTAGGACTGTGGTGCCATCTTTTAGCTCAGGGAGTGTATGATGTTCCCGCTACAAGTGACATTGAATGGTGTTTACATGACGGAGATCTTATGATGTAAGAGGGTCACTTTCCTTTTTTAGACATTGTGTTAGTCAGCTTTTGTTGATGTGACTAAAATACCTGATGAGAACAACTTGGAGGGGATAAAAAGTTTACTTTGGGCTCACAGTTTCAGAGGTGTGGTTCCTGGTTGGCCAGCTCCACGGGGGGACTTGAGGTGAGGCAGAATGTCGTGGCGGAAGAGCGTGGTGGAGGAAAGCTGCTCAGCTCACAGCCACCTGGAAGCAGAGGAAATAAGGTGCCAGGGTTAAAATGTAATTTTGAGGGCAGCCTGCAGTGACCTGCTTCCTCCAGTTACACTCCACCTGCGTATAGTTACCCCCTTGTACAGACGTCCTTTCAAATTATTAATCCATTAAGTGGATTAAACCACTGATTCAGTTACAGCTCTTACAATCTAATCATTTCATCTCCAAATATTATGGACCTTCCTGCATTGCCTAACGTGAATTTTGGGGGGGATACTTCATATCCAAACCATAACAGTTATCTAGGTTTGTACAAATAACAGTGCTGGAATTTTTTTATTTTTCTGAGCTGTGTTTTCTGACTTTCATTACAGCAAACTCTAATACATCCAAAGGCAATTTATTTGCAGAGAGGAAGTAGCCAGATATTTGTACTTCTCAAAGTATTTAGAAACAAGTCTACATCCTGGAAGATACATTCTTTCAAAATAATGTAATATTTTTGGTTCCTGAGTGGCTGATGACAGGGACAGTGTCTGAGCAGAAGTAATTCTGTGGGGGCCTCTCAGCTAGCAAGTGTCTCATGGGATCTCCTAGAAAGATTTAGCTCTAAAATTACCCCCATTTTCTGTCTAAGTTGCCTTTCAAGTGATGCAGAGAACTTAGAACTTTATCTGGTAGGTAGTTGGGAGACAAGGCAAGATTTAAACAACTAAATTACATGATTCAGTTTTTAATTCTATAAAGTGAGTTTGGGGCTGGTCATGGCAGTACCTGCCTGTTGTCTCAGTTACCAGGGAAGCCGAGTCAGGAGGATTACAAGTTCAAGATCAACTTGGGCACATGAGTGAGACCCTGCTTCAAAATAAAAAATGAAAAGGGATGTAGCTCAGAGGTAAAGCACCACTGGGTTCAATCCCAATACTGGGAAGAGAAAAACAACAATAACAACAACAAAAAAAAGCAAAGTGAGCTTTGGTGGCAGCATCAGATGGTGGAAAGACTAGAAGACAGTTGTCATAGACAAGGTGAAGACTGGAGGGCCTGGCCTAGGGTCAGGACAGAGGGCGAGTTGAGGAGAGGAGATGATCTTGAGAGTGCTCACATTGGATCATGCATGAGAGCAAACATGGTGGCCAGTACTTAACACGTTAACTACTCATTTAACTTTAACCACAGCTCTCCAAAAGTGATAGCGTTGTGTCTATTTATAGATGGGAAATTGGAGATGGGGAGGACTGGAACCAAGTCTGCCTTAAAATTCTGACCTTGCTTGTTCCAGCCTATGGCCAGGATGCAAGGTAGAGTGACCTGGGAAGTTTGGGACTTGGTGAGTTCCTACCTGTGGACAGTGGGGAGGGAGGAGTGGAGATTAAGTGACTTGCTGGAATGAGTGGCTGGATTGATGGTGACAGCATTAACCCAAGCAGGAACTCAGTAAGTATATCAAGTTCAAATATATTATTTTTTCATTTTGCAGATACTCAGTTTACATATGATCTTTTCTTTTTATGTGGCATTAAGCATTCTTTACCTGTATATTTTATTTCTAAGAAATAATACAAAAATTTGTGTGTGTATATATATAAAGCCTTTTTGGTGTGTATTTTCCTTATTATGAAAGATATATATGGACTGTTTTTACTTGTGAATAGAGACTTAAAATATGTTATGACAAAAAGGACTTTTACCAGGAATGGAAGACTTTTACCAGAATAGAAAACCTATCTATGTAATTTATAAAATCTGTAGATTAAAGGAGAAAAAATTTATGCTTGTCTTCATAAAAAAGCATTTAATGATATTTGTCTCCATGCATGAATACATATTAGCAATGTGTTAGAGTCTGTAAACAAGTCAGGATGGCGCCTGGCATTTTGCGAGAGAAATGTTAGAGTCTGTAAACAAGTCTGGATGGCGCCTGGCAAAATGCCAGAGGGAGTGGTTTGTGAAGTAACACCAGCAAGCCATTAAGTGTGGAGATTTCTTATTGGTTGACTGATGTATCTAGTTTATGCTAATTAAGATAAGCTGTGTGGAATGTATAAATACCACTCCTGTCCTACAATAAATGGCTCCCACTCCTGCTGTATCAATCTACACAAGTCGTTCGTCACCCCCCGGTTATTTGCTGCAGCCAGACTGCGGCAGCAATGGATAGAAATGCCTTTAGCTTGATCAAGTCTATGCATAGAAGACTTACTTAATGGAGAAGTGGTTATTAAATCTATTAAATACAATAGGACAAGGGTGGCCAATACTGCTGATGCCACTCAGTGTTGTTCTCTGGGTCTCGTTATAGCCAGTAAGAAAAATAATAAGAACTGCAGGTGGGAAAGGTGGAGACAAAGCAATCATTTGCAGACAACATGATTGCGAGAGGATCAAGGGACAAGTTATTAGAACTTGGAGACTTCAGGAGCACTAGATAATGAACCTAAAATGAATTGTTCGCAAAAGCTATCAAGTGTTATTAGAGGGCTATAAATGACCTAAATAGAGAGAGAGAGAGAGAGAGAGAGAGTAAGAGTACATGTTCATAAATGGAAGATATAAAGATATAGAATTGTACCTAACCTGCAATTTAGTGTGATCTTAATCAAAATCCCAAAGGAACTTTATCATGGAATTTGACAAATGAACTAGAGAGTTCATTTGGAAAACGAAATGTGCAAGAATATCCAAGATCAATTTGGAAAAACACAAAGCAGGGTGGGGTGGGGTGTTGCTTAGAGGTCACAATATACGTTTAAATTTATAGTAATCCAAAGAGCTTGGTAATGATAGAGAAACAGAGCAATGTGATTGTATAACATGTATAATCAGAAATCAGAAATTATACCCCATCTATGTTTGATATATCAAAATGCATAAATGCATTCTACTATCATGTGTAACTAATTAATTCAAACAAAATTTAAAAATTAATAAAAAAAGATCACTGGAATAGAGGATAGAAACTGACCAATGTGTATGGCAACAATTTATAATAAGAATAGCATTTGAATCACTGGAGAAAAGAAAACCACTTGGCACACAGCTAGGCATAGACAGGTAAAGGGCCCTACTTCATGTCATTCCCTAACATTTCAGACAGATTAAAGAAACAGGAAAAAAAACGATGAGCTCATTACAATATGGAGTATGTCAGAACCTTGGGATAGAGAAGACCTTCTCAAAACACAAGATGTGACTGCTGTAATTTGCCATATTTGAAAAACTAGATTGAAAAAATCACAAAGGCTGAAAGACAAGTAAAGATTTGGAGAAACTACTTGCACACATACAAACAGACAAAGGATTGATTTCTGGAATCTATGAAGAACTCTGACAAATCAATGAGAATGGACAAGCATACAACAGAAGAACAAATGTATCGTACAAAGAAATTCATATAAAAGGAAACAGTTGTGGCTTACAGATATATAGAAAGACGCACATCCCATTTTTTCAGGAAATTCACATTGAAGTACAGGGTACCATTTTCAATTATCAAATTGGCAAAAAGTGAAGGGTTTGGCAGTAAGTGTTGGCAGCGTTGTTGTGTCTGCACTGCCGGGGGGCATGAATTGCACACCGTCACTTATGCAAGCAATTTGGTATGCTATCCATTGAAATAACAGGTATGTGTGTTATATTGACCCAGCAGATCCAGTTCTTAGGATTTATTCCAAAGAAACCCTCTTATGCCTGCAGAAGGAGGCATTTATAAGGGAATTCACTATGTATTACAAAAACACTGAGACAACCTAGATGATATTACTAAGAGAGGTTAAACAAACTATGCCATGCCTGTTTCTGGGTTTCTAATCTAAAACAATGAAGGACATTCAGGTCATTCACTGTCATGGACCTTGAGATATTGATAGATAAAATGACAGAGGGACTCATAAAATGTGATGTCACTGTTTAAGAGAAAGCACAGAATGGTAAATACATGCATATAGAAATGTATGTTGTTATGGTCCAAATGTGAGGTTAGGGTGGGAAGTTGGTTCTCCATGAGGACTAGCCCATTTTGGATCCTGAATTTGCCAGTGCCACCTTCTTAGACTTCCTATCCTCCAGAACTGTGAGAAATAAGTTTCTGTTGTTTATAGACCATCCAGTCTATGGAATTTTGCTTGCAGCCAGAATACATGTGAGCATGAATATACACAATGAGATACATGTCCACACAAGGGTACACACCGAACTTATGACAGTGACTCCTTTGGTGGGGAGAATAGGATTGGGAGGTGGGGTGGTAGGAAGCCTTGCTATGATGTTTAACTTTATCAGGAGAATGTATTTGTGCCAAATTTAACAAAAACAAGCTTGATGTGTATATAGAAATCAAAAGAATCAGGAAAAAACCCCAGTAGGCAATTGCCATGAATATTTTTTGGCATATTTGTATCTAGATTGTTTGCATTTTTAGTGTTTCTGATCTTTTTGAT